TTATCCCGCTAAGTTCTGCAGAGCGGTGGTGCGCATTGTGGAGCAGGTGATTCGCCAGCAAGGAGGGCATCGCGCCTACCAGGTGGACTGCCAGTCGCACTCGTCGCCCTTCATCGTGACAGTGCCCAGGGAGCAGGCCACCGCCTACGTAAACGACACCGCGCCCCTGGGAGAGACGGGCGAGCCTGATGGGGACCCAGACCCCATGGGCGGCGGAGACGACTTCGCCGACACTCACGACGTGCGGGCCGAAGATACTGTGGACGGCAGGATCAGGGTCGGCGCGATTACTTTCACAAAGAAAGCAGCGGCCTGCTGCAAGCCAGCCGAGCTGGCCATGCTCAAGAGACTCCATGTCAACTTGGGCCATCCGTCTAATGAAGATTTGGGCCGCAGTTTGCGACTCAAAGGCGCTAAGTCGGCCACCGTCCAGGCCGTCAAGGGGCTGATCTGCGGGGTGTGCCGCTCGCGGCAGCGCCCGAGCGCGAGGAGACCAGCGCACCTCCACTTCGTGCAAGATTTTGGAGACGACCTCGGCTTCGACTGCTTCGAGCTCAAGGACGTCGACGGCAAGAGCTACTGGTATTTCAGCATCGTCGACCTGGCCACCACCTTCCATGTCGCGACGCTGATCGGTCGCCACACCAGCCAGGAGATCGCTGCCGCGTTCGAGAGGTGCTGGGCCTCTTGGGCGGGCGTACCCGACCGAGTTCACTTCGACATGGAGAAGGGGTTCGGCGGCGCCCTCAGCGAGCTGTTCCAGTCATTCAACACGGTGCAGCTGCCCATCGCTGGTCAGGCACATTGGCAGCTCGGTCGCGTGGAACGCCAGGGAGCTTGGTGGAAGGAGCTCGCGGCGAGGACGATCGAGCACTCGTCGATCAGGGGCGAGGACGAGATGCGGACGCTGGCCATCATGGTATCGGGCGCGAAGAACTCGCTGAGAAGGCGAGCAGGCTTCAGCCCCGCGCAGTGGGTGCTGGGACGCGACCCCAAGATGCCTGGAGACCTAGTCGACGACACGGCCAACTACAGCGCCCACAGCCTCGCGGCCAACGACGAGAAGATTCGCCGCCGATATGCCATTCGGACGGCGGCGCGCGAGTCGTTCATGAGGATGCAGAACGACGACCAGCTCCGGCGAGCTATGCTGGCTCGCGCGCGCACGGTGGCGACGCCCTTGTCAGTGGGCGAGATGTGCTACGTCTTTCGCCAGGTCAAGAAGAAGGAGCAGCGGGAGCAGCACAACCGCAACGCCAAGAAGGGCATCTGGCGAGGGCCGTGCGTAGTCATCGGCCACCAAGGCGAGAACACCTGGGTCTCGCTAGGAGGGCACGCCATGCTGGTGGCCCCGGAGCACATCAAGGCACTCGCTCCGGACGACGTCTGGTTCCCGAACGGCAGGGGCGAGATCGGTCAGGCCGTGGCCGAGCTCAACCGGGCTCGCGACTCGCTCGAACAAGAAGAGGCTCAGGTGGAGGACATCCGCCCGGCGCCTGGCGAGCCCGAGGTCAAGCCAGACGAGATGGAGCAGGCGTGGCGGGAATTCATCGACAACCCGGACGACAGCGACCTCAAGTTGAACGTCTCCGAGGATCCGCCCCAGCAGGAGCAGATCCAGGTGCTGCCCGCCGACGTTCCGCAACAAGCTGAAGAAGAGCGAACCTACGGCCCTGACGAGTTCCGACGACGTCGAGCTACCTTCGACGGAGGGGACAGCGGCGACTTCGGCCCGGCCTTCAAGCGACTCCAGACCGAGAGGAAGAACGCAGGCTCTGGCGCCCTGCCCGCAAGGGCAACTTCGCGGGACCGCGCGGCGGCCCCCGATCAGGAGGCAGCGGCCGGACCCGAAGCAGGAGGAGCCCGCCAACGTTCGAGGTCGGCTCCAAGACAAGTATTGCAAACCTCCATCGTGACCGAGAGGATCAAGCGCAAGCAGTCCGACAAGGAGATCAACTGGAGGGCCATCAAGGACTCCGATCGGGAGCTCTTCAGGGAGGCGGCCGCCAAGCAGTGGAGCGAGTGGCAGAAGTATGGCTCTTGTCAGGTACTCTCCATCGAGGAGTCCGAGGCGATCAGGGGCGTGATCAAGCCCAGCCTCATCCTGCCCAGCCGGTTCGTGTACCGGGACAAGAACGCCCCGCTGCGGACCGACAAGCATCCGCTGCCGGTCAAGGCAAAGGCCCGACTCTGCGTCGGGGGTCAGATGGACCCGCGCCTCGCTCAGGGCGACCTGCGGACGGACGCGCCCACGGTCACCCGCAACTCGACCATGCTGTTCTTCACCATCTGCCAGAGGTTCGACCTGGAGATCTACGCGGCGGACGTGGAGGCGGCTTTCATGCAAGGCGACGAGCAGCCCGACCAGCAGCTGTGCATGGCCCAGCCTCGCGAAGGTTTGCCTGGGCTGAACCCGAAGCAGCTGATCAAAATCCTCAAGGGAGTTTTCGGGCTGGCCACGGCACCGAGACAATGGTGGGCGAAGCTCAAGAGGACACTGCTGGCGGTGGAGGAGAAGCTGAGCGACAACTACGTGTTTCGCCTACACCAGCACTCGCTAGACCCAGCGCTGTACTACGGCTACGACCAGCACGGTGAGCTCTGCGCGGTGGTGGTCGCCCACGTGGACGACCTGCTGCTGGGGATCTCGCACAAGTACCCGGGCCTCTACGACAGGCTTCACAAGCTTTTGCCCTGGGGCGACTGGCGAGGCTTGCCTTTTACCTTGTGCGGCAAGCAGGCCTGGCGAGATCAAGAGGAAGTACTGCATCTACGACAGACCGAGTACGCGAACACCATCGAGGAGATTCCGCTCAGCAAGGAGCGCAAGACGGACCTGTCGTCAGATGCTACGCCAGCCGAGTTCTCGGACAACCGCTCCGCACTCGGAGCGCTCGGGTGGTTTTCATCGCAGACTCGTCCCGACCTGGCAGCTGGAGTGGCCATGGGGCAGCGGACCCAGAACAAGCCCACCATCCAGGACTTGTTCGAGACGAACAGGCTCATCAAGTTGGCGCGGAAGCACGCGGACGTGGGTTTGGAGTTCCCTAAGTTACGTGGACCTCTGTGCCTGGTGACGTACCACGACGCCAGTTGGGCCAACGCTGACGAGCCCGCTGAAGGCGCCATCTCCAAGTTGCTCGCCAAGACCGCGGGGGCAACCAGTAAGGACAAGAAGATCCAGATTCGCTCGCAGGCCGGCTACGTGAGTTTTCTCGCAGAAGCCAAGCTACTACGCGGAGATCGAGCTCGAGCAGGAATTGTTGATTGGAGATCGGGCAGCATCAAGAGAGTTTGCTGATCTACGTTGGCAGCCGAAACGATGTCGGCAGTAGACGCTCTAGGCTGTGCTCAGATTACACGCTGTGTTTTCGCTTCGCTAGAGATTCCGGATGCCCATCCAGAGGACATCCCGCCGAGTCTGTTGCCGCTCGCTCAGGTCACAGATTGCGCCAGCTTGTACGATACGATGCATAAAGACGGTTATTCCAAGCTCCCGTCAGAGCGGCGCCTTTTACTCGACCTAGTGGGCCTCAAGGAGTCACTAGAAGAGGAAGTTAGCAACGAGTTTGTCGCTGACGATCAGCGCAGCCAACTACCTCTTTTTTGGGTTCCGACTGATCAGCAGCTCGGTGATCAGTTCACCAAGCGATCGGACGGCAGTGCCATCAGGGCAGTGCTGCGAGACACACGTCTCGCTTTGCAGCATCAAGAGCCGACGGACCAGGCCAGAGAGCACGAGGCACACCTGACCAGTGCCGGCTCACTTTTCAAGCGCGCAGTGCGCCTGGTTTCATTTTAGCTCGTTGACGTGCCATCACCACGTCTAAATGCGATATAGTGGCAGATGCACAGAGCAGAAGAATTCTGCACGAGTGTGAAATAAATAGTGTCAGTGCTGATATGTAAGCAGTGTAGCATAGCATGCCAGCAAGCATATGCTCTTTCGTAACTATTTGGGTTCAATCCTTTAAGGGCCCTTGAGCTTGGGCGTATCGGTAGACACCTCGCAGGTGCCGCTAAGCAACATCAATCGCCTATCATTGCTGATATCTTCGCAGATACTTTTACGTCATCGCTGACAATAACAACCTCGCGGTTATCATCGCATTCAGACCCCTCACGCAGTATTGGGTCTGCACCCCCCCCCCTGGAAGGGAGGACGGACTGCTGCGCAGTGACGTCCGGCACCCCTGGCGCGGCTGCCGTAGGCCCAGCGGGGCGGGCGAGTCCCCTCCCTCCCTGCTCGCCTCTCCCCCCCTCCTCTCCCTCCCCTTGCTCCCCTCCCTCACCTCCTTTCCTCCTCTCCCCTCCCTCCCCTCCCCTCCTTTCCTCCTTTCCCCTCCCATCCCCTCCCATCCCATCCCCTCCCCTCCCATCCCATCCCTTCCCCCTCCCCTCCCCTCCCCTCCCTCTTCTCCTCTCCCCTCCCCTCCCATCCCCTCCCCTCTCTCCCCTCCCCTCCTGCAGGTTCACCGATAGGTGTCTCTGAATAAGTGTTGATGCAATGTCGTCAACTCTCTCTAGGTCCGTGGATCTCAAGCTCTCTTTTACCTCAGCAAGCGCGAAGCCAAATATGTATATCTCTCCTCGCCGCAAGCGTTGGTCTGCACGCAGTCCGGGTATTCTCCAGATAGCCAGCCCTCGAATCTGTCCCAGGGAAATCTCTTTGTCTGAATATTCTGATATTTAATCTCGATAATCTGGCTGGCTCTCTGGAACCAGCAAGTAATGTGTCTGACCGCCCAAAAGGCGGCTCAAGGGGCCCCTAAGCCACCATGATTACGGATAGCTGCAAATGACACTCGTCTCGCACTTACGGAAACGAAACGGACACGATTGAGTTCGCATCCCCAGAAATCTTTAATGCAGCTACTCCATGGAAATGGCTTAGAGCCTCGAAACGTCCGCACCCGCTCTGGTGCGTCTCAGAAAATAAAACACGCAATAGAACAGGCCATCAGACAGGCAACAGGACAGGCAACTGCAGCACAGCGGCGTCAGCCATAGGATGTCGGCTCACTCACTATCATGTTATCGTCATCATTGTCATCACCATCTGCTGCATATGGTAACGACACTCCCACTTTCATGAATGCCATCTTGATGAGGCCAGAGATATCCTTGCTGTTCTCGAACCTGCTCATCCCGCGCTCCTTACGCGTCTTGGCACTGAGCTGCTCGTCGTCGTCTACCAGTGCCCAGCTCCACGTCTTCATGTACAGGTCGATGGGCCCTGTAGCTGTCGTCTTTGTCAAGCTGTCGGCCAGGTTGGCCTCGGAGTGGCACCACCGCACAATCAACTCTGTCTCGTTGATGCACTTCTCGAAGGCCATCAGCTCGAGCGCCGTCCGTTTCTCGGCCAGGCTCTGCATCTGCACCTGCTTGGCCAGACAGTCGTAGATGCTCTTAGCGTCCACGCACAGGCACGATCGTACCTGCTTCACGCCCTCCAGCATCGGCTGCCGTCTTGCTCTCGCTCGCGGTTCCCACGGCCACGTCCGAAACAAAACCGTTCAGCTCGGCCCACATCATTCTTACCATGAAAAGCTCGTCCTCTGTCACTGTCAGTGCCTGAACCTCGGCCGCCAACGAACTCCTGGCCACACGCTGTAGCTTACCACTGCGATGCGAAACCCATCCAACTGGGGCCCGCTTGCCGTTCAGAATGTCCGCTGGCGCAATCCCGATCACATATCCTCCTGTCGAGAGCCCGTCTGGTCGATTCGCCCAGGCTGCATCACTCCAGCCTACGACCACTCCTTCTCCCTCGAAACTCTCGAACTTCAGCTTGTAGCCGTGATCGTTCTTCATCTGTCTGATCAGCTTGTTGATCCCGAAGAGCGTCTCCACTGTCGCCGTCGGTCCACTGCTCTGATATATTGAGCACTGCGCCTGATATTTCGGCATCGTCTGCGTCGCCACCCACTGGATCTCGCCCAGTGCACCCCGAAGCATCGTCATCTCCTTATCCGTCAGCTTCTGGTCCCGTTGTTTGCGACGCTCTTGTCCGATGTTGATCTCGGTGATGTTGTCGATGATCTCCTTCTGGTGTATGGTGATCTCGCTGCTGGCCGTCTGCATGACCGACAGTCCGGTCTGCTTGAAGCTTCCTTCCTCCCATGGAGTCCAGCGGAACGCCTTCTGCAGCTTCACCTCGATCTCTCGCCATCGAACTCCACCATCTCCGGCGATCAGGAAGTCGTCCACGTGTGTGCCAACTACCCCGAACACGTTGTTGTTCTCGTCGCTGAAAACCCAGACGCACGGGTCCGACACGCATCGTTGTCCACCGAGCTGCTCCATCAGGGTGTCCACGCTCTCGTACCACGACTTTGGTGCTTGACATAGTCCGTACACTGCCTTCTTTAGTCTCACCGCTGTCCCTCCAGGTACTCCGAACTCCTCCGCCAGCTCATCGTTGGCCTCGATGTAGGTCGGCTTGTCGTCTGGCATCCCTTTTCCTTGCAGGAAAGCGGCCTTGACGTCCCCCTTCTTCAGCTTCCACTTCTTCATGGCCGTAAGCTGGAAGATCATGTTCCGAGCTCTCCTGGTCATGGTCGGCGATGCCACTGGTTCTTCTCCTAGCCGAGGATCTTGATATCCCAGCACTACCAGTCTCGCCTTTGCTCGGCTGCCTCCTGTCGCTTCGTCCTTCTTCCAGGTGAGTACCCAGCGCGTCTTCAGGACGTCCGACGACTTCGGCTTGATGTGTGGCGGTAACCTCTCCAGCACGTCGTTGGCGATCCAGTCTCTCACCTCGACCAGCTTCGCCACCTTCATCAGACTCTTCTGCTCGTCGGTCATGTGCTTGACACTTGCCTCAGACCTTCCTTTCTTCATCGCCTTGGTGATGTACTGCTCCGGCTGCCTCGTGAACTTGTTCATACTGTTCGCGTCGAACGCCTCGAACGCTACCTCGATGTAGTCGATCCCCGTCGGGATCTCCAGGTCCTCCTGGATCTCCGTAGCAGCCCATGCCGCCACGTCGAAGTTCTCCCAGTCGAGCTTGTCCCAGTCCATCTGGTCACCGTCCGCGATCTTGTCATTGAAGAAGGCACTGTAGCTCCTCAGTGCTGGTCCGAAGTTGGTCCGCATCCTGACCCTCCTCTTCGTCTTTTCGAACAGGTCGGTCTTGACTTTTCTCTTCTCGACGATCCGTTTTTTGAGATCTGCTCCTCCTGCAGTTGTCTGTTTCGTGTTCTCTACCTTCTCGCTCTCGATGTCATCCACTGACGGCTGGTCTTTCCCATTGTCCCCATGGGTCTCCGGTACCTGCTCCACGACCATCTTCTTCGCCTTCTCATGGATCACCTCCTTGGCGTTCTGGTCTACCTTCATCTCCTCTGGCTTGTCCGTGATGGGAAACAGGTAGGTCCTGCCAGTCCAGCGTCGTCCCATTGACCTCGTAGACTTCCCATGCACTTTCCAGTTGTCGTCCTTGACCGTCTCCTCGGATCCGTCCTCATACCTGATCACGGTGATCCTTTCCATGGTCGTCTTTTCCGGTTTGGCTCTGAAGCCTCTTAGCGTAAACAACGCCACTCTCGGTCGTAAATGTACTCTGATGTGTGCAGGTCGTCCTTCGAACTCACCTTCTTCCCAGTGGTCCTCCTTGTCTCCGTCTTCTGGTGCACGAGCTGTGGTCTCCGGTGTGTAGGTCTCCTCATTCATCGGCGCGTCCTCTTTGTCCACGGAAATCACATCCCCCTTGTTGAGACTCTCCAGTCCTTCCACGAATGTCCAGGGCGTGTGCTTTTCCTCGAAGAACATCTCTTCTTCTCTTGGACTTGCCGCTCGTAGTTGTTCGGGCGCACACCTCCACAGCCTCGACCCAATCACGACCCATGCCTCTCTGGATTGAACGAGCGCCCCGTCGCTTGTCTTGGTCGTCTGCACCCCGAGGATGGTACCTGGTCCAAACCATCTGCCCTTGTCAATCCCATGATGTCGTTGTCCTGCTGGTGCTGGTTGTTTAGCCTGCTTGCCACACCTCCATACACATACCAGCATCCCAGGATACAGGTGTTGTGGTCGTTGATATCGTGCTGCTGCTGCTCTCGTCTGCTGCTGCTTGAGAATCCGCTCGCCAATGATCTTTGATGCCAGCTCCCGCATGGACAGGTTCTCCATGTAGCTCTGGTTCGTGCACTTCACGACGTCCAGGTGATCCTCCTTCTTGAGAGTCCCTGACCAGTTCTTGTCTCGTCCGAAGGCCCATTGGCTCGGACTGTATCCATCGACTCTCTCGACCGCGTTGTGTGCCTCCACCGCCGCATGTACAGCTGCCTCCAGGTCGGTCCCATGATCACGACGCATGGCCTTGGCGCACTCGAACGCCGTCTTGATTGCGCGCTCCGCGATGCCATTCTGCCAGTGAGCCTGGGTGGCACACGGATCCACCTGTATTCCTTCACCTGCAATACTGTCATAGAACTCGTGTGACACGAATGCTCCTTCCGGATCGAGCCTCAGTACGCTTGGCATCCCATGCCGATCTGTCCAATGTCCTCTGAACGCATCCAGCAGCTCCTTGGCGGCGCAGTTCGTCGACTCCTGGGCGGGTATTGAGAAGATCTTGACCTCCAGCGTCAGCTTACTCGCCTCGTCCACGATCACAAGGTACTTCCGCTTGATCTGGTCGTTGCCTACGATCTCCTTCACGTCGATGCCGACCGCCTGCCATAGATCTCGAGCTGGCTCGATTACCGCTGCTGGTCTGGGTCTTGCTATCTGATTCTCAATGCACGAGCTGCACTTGATCTGCTTCACGGCTGCGACTGTCGTCGCTGAAGCCCCGCGTCTTCGCAGGATCCTGATCATCACCCTCTGTGGTCGATGTCTAGTATTCCGATGCAGCCGCATCGCTGCTTTCATTAACTAATTCTGCTTCAGCGCCGGCAAGTCGTTCCATTGTTGTTGCTCGTCGCTTGTCAGCTCTAGCTCCCTCATGGTCGAACATCTCCTTGTTGTCGTTCGCCAGGGCTTCCTCCTGCCTCAGCTCCTCGATCATGCCCATCAGCTTCGGCGGTTCCACGATATTCCGCCAGATGATCCTTGCCATTCGTGATGGGTATCTGCCCGACAGTGTAGCATCCTCCCCACAGCATTCTGCATGTCCGTGTCCTTGGGGATCTGGGCAGCGTTTGCCACTCAGGGCCGTTGCGAGCTTCTTCCTGCTGGTCCACAGCGCCCACGGTTTGTATATCGGCTCGCCCTTGGTGTTGACCACCCCGGCCTGGCACCCGTCGCAGTTCACCTTCTCCATGCCCAGCTCACCAAAGAACTCTATCAGCTCCGGGAAGTACTTCCAGCCATGGCAGTTGCGTGGCCACTCGAAGTGCACGTCCCCACCATTGTCCTTGACAATCCTGCTCACTTCCATGAAGTGATTCACGATCTTCTTAAGGTTCTTCTTTCGTGCTTCGAGCTTCTTCCAGTACTGGCCATCCTGTCTGCCGATGCAACCGCTGCGAAGCGCGCTGACGGCTGTGCACGGTAGGCTTCCCCAGACGTCGGCTCCAGGGCTTTTCGCCGCCAGGTTCTTGGCCAACCCCAGTCCATGTTTCGCGCTGAGATCCGCGTCCTTCCGCGTGATCCTGATGATCTCGGCGTCCTCGCGTTCCTCCGCGACCTTCCCGAGCTGGCTGTCCTCCTCCGTGCAGAACTCGATCAGCTGTTTCACGTAGAGGTCTGTCGCCATCCCAGCTTCTGTCACCTGCTCTAGCACCCAGCTGTAGTCCTTCAGGTTTATCTCCTCCTTGTGGTACTCGACGTCGTCGTCCCCTGAGGGGACGTCTAGGTCGGTTCTCAAGGACCCACGGGCTCCCCAGCCTGGGGAGACTCCTTCTTCTTCCTGCGAGTCGGTGGGGCCGTCCTCCGCTTGGTGCTGTCGCGCATCTGGTCGAACATCATGTCGGCCTTGCTCATCTGATCGGTGCTCGGGTACGGCATCCCCTCCTCCTCTGATTCCCCGGCCTTCTCGAATGAGTCCTCCGAAGACACCTCTTCGATCTTGGTCTGGCTCTCTCTCTCTCTCTCTCTCTCTCTCCGACGTCGCCTTCTCCTTGGTGACCTTCTCCTTCGTCACTTCTTCGATCTTGATCTTTCCCACGGTCGGTCCCAGAGCTCCCTTCTGCCTGTACCTGCCCGTCGCCCCGTGCTTCGGGATGTACAGCATGACCAGCTCGCATCTCACGCACTTGTAGCTCACCTTGTATCCGTTGGCGTGCCTCGCCAGCGGGTGTGTCGTGTCGTGCTCGCCGTAGCAGGGCTTGCCCGTGTAGCGATCGTCTTTCTCGTTGGCAGCCTCCGCTCTGTCCCAGTCCAGTCGTAGGTCCCGACGATCCAGTGTCATCCATTCGCCGATGGTCCGCTTGCCCCATCGCTCTGGATCGGTCTGTCGTCGCTGTCGGTCTCCACTGCCCCTCCGATGTCCTGAACCACCGTCGAGGCCTTGGTCCTTCTTGATGTCGCGGTGCTTGTTGCTGTCGATCGGGACGTCGGCTGCGGGCGTCGAAGCCGCCGCTGCCGCCCCGGGCATCGCCCCTGATGGCCTCGACCCGTTGGGCGTTGATCCACTGAAACCTGGATTTTGAGCCACCACGTCGCGGATCGCAATCAGCATCACCGCCACCATCATTCATGATTATCTGAGGTACTTTGCATTTCTCGTGTAGGACATCAGTTACTTTCATCTCTGGGGGCTTTGGAGTCTTCTCGAACCCATTCGAGATACTCTCAGGCCTCTGAGATCCCCTGAAAGAAGTCTCACACGTATCGGTAGTCACGTACTTCGACCGCGTCGGTGTGGTCTGGATCGCCGAAAATCTCCGACATCGGGTCGAAGTACTCGCAGTCCTTGATCGAGCTGTCGTTCGTGTCGGACTCGCACATGTACTCGAAACCCGTTCCAGCTCGGAACTCGTCGGTCTTATTTCCAAACCCGTGCCCACGAAATCCTCAGTGGTTTCTGTAATGAAATTCACATCCTCGGAAGTCTCAAACGGTGCCCTCTTGCTCTCGGCCCCCTCCTCTGCTCTCACTGTCTTGGTAGGTCCTCCAATCCAGTGACGTGATGCTGGCTTTGTTTTCCTGAAACCAGCACCGCAGAAGGAGGGGCGCTGTCCCTATTCAGGGTTCGCGGCTGGATCGGCCGCCGCGACCCTCGCAGTGCCGAGAGCCTGCTGTAAATCCTCGAGCTTCTGCTTGGAGTCCCCCCTGTCAGTGTAGTTCACCTTCGCGTCGTAGAGGTCCTTCGTCATGTCGATGCACAGATGTCCCGTCGAGATCCGCTTGAGCTTCGCCACCTTGTTCTTCGTGATATTGTTCAAGCAGGCGATCCCCGTCTCGAAGTCGACGATCGCTCCAGCACGCTTCAAGAGATCCACTGACCCCAGCAACGGCACGTAGCGGTCCCCCTTGGTGACCAGCGCGTAGCCCGACACGCTACCTAGATTGCCGTTCGCCTGCAGCGGGAGGTTCGTCCGGCACGAACACTGCTCCGCGTCGCCGTTAGCGAACCCGAACTTCGGTCGATCTGTCACATCGACCTTCACGTTGCTCGTGTCGATTCCTGCCTGCTGCTGCTTCTCGATGATCTTCTCGAGCGCCACGATCGACCCGAACGTCTTCGTCGCTCCGCTGTCGAGCACCATGCACCCCTCCGTCTCGTCCGCGAGACCGGCCAGCGCGTGCTCCACCTCGAACTCCGTGTAGGCCATCTCCAGGTCGTTCTCCTCGAACTCGTCGTCGTTGGCCTCCCAGCTCGCGAAGCTGAACGCCAACGCTCCAACCTGAGATGCTCGTCCGCGTGGTTGTTCCTTGTTTCGATTCTCCGGGTTCTTCGGGCAGTCGGCCTTCCTGTGCGGTCCGCTACAGATGAAGCACGGCCCTCCTTGGCCCTTGCCGCCTTTCTTGCCCTTGCCCTTGCCCGTCTGAAAGAACCCTCGGCTTTGCTTGATATCTTTCACCACGGCCCGCGCTTGTGCCAGCGTCCTCTTCTGGTTCTTGACGTCCTTCTTGGCTCCGGCGATGACCGCCAGTGCCTCCTCTGCCTCCGCGCGTTCCTCCTCGTCCAGACCTTCGAGGTCGAGTTCGTCCTCGTCCCAATCGAACTCCGCGTAGGCTTCGTAGTCGTCTTCCGGGTCGTAGTCGTCTGGAGCCTCCTCTTGATCATCTTCATCTTCTCCAAACACTCCTCGTGCTCGTCCGCGGCCAGGTTTGTGCGGGAATATGTCTCTCTTCTTGTTGTGCGCGTCGTGCTCCTTCAGGTCCACGTCTGCCCGCTGGTCCCGCAGCGCTGCCTCGATGTTCTTCAGATTCAGCGAGTTCTTGGCTGACGACAGGACTCCCGCGCGCTCTTGAGCATTCAGCCCGGCTCGTTGTAGTAGCAGCCAGCCCGCCATCACCGACGGGATCAGCGTCTCGCGCGCCTCTGTCGCCACCTCTTTCAGCGCCTTGATGTCGGCATCGTCATCCTCCAGGTCGAAACGCGCCATCAGCGAGCACAGCGCATCCGTAGCATTTTCCTTCAGCGTCACCTTCTTGTGTGCCTTCAGCGATGTCGTCGCCTGTGGCCAGGTCCAGCCAGCTGACCCCGTCGGTGAACTCGACCACCAGCTGCTGCCATGCCACCAGCTACCCTTCCAGTAGCCGTCGTTCTCGTCCTTCCAGCTGCCGTCGTCCTCTGCGCCTTCATCTTCGCCTTCGGGGCCTTCTCGTTCGCGAGTGGACTCCAGCCTCACGGACTCTGTCTTCTCCTCGGGCCGCGCCTTCCTTGCTAGCTTGATCTCGGTCGTCGTGTCCTTCTCCTCGATCCGCCTGAAGCTCTGGTCCAGCTTGTCTGCGACGATCCTGCTTCTCTGAGCGTAGGCCTTCATGCCCTCGTTGTTCCGCCGTCGCAGCGTGAACAGGTACTCCTTCAGGTACTTCGCGGCCTCCGGGATCGGCTCGTCCATGAGCGTCTCGTCCAGGAACTCCAGCAATATCTTGTGGCCGCCCGCCTTCTCCAGCAGCTCCCGCCCCTCGTCCGAGACCTCCTCGAGCGCCTTCCACGCTTCGCCAGTGAGAGCTGCCGCCAGTCGAGCTCCAGCCACTTGCTTATCTCGATGTGAAAGACCAGCCACATACCACTTCACACGTTCGCGATACTCTTGAAACCTGGTGACGTCTCCATCCCATGTCGGAACCTTCTTGCCGTCATCGCGAGAGTCTCTCATCTTGCCGGCTGTCCAGGTGTTGGAGCCAAGCGGCTCCGCTACCAATGCAGGTTCACCGATAGGTGTCTCTGAATAAGTGTTGATGCAATATCGTCAACTCTCTCTAGGTCCGTGGATCTCAAGCTCTCTTTTACCTCAGCACGCGCGAAGCCAAAAATGTATATCTCTCCTCGCCGCAAGCGTCGGTCTGCGCGCAGTCCGGGTATTCTCCAGATAGCCAGCCCTCGAATCTGTCCCAGGGAAATCTCTCTGTCTGAATATTCTGAGATTCAATCTCGATAATCTGGCTGGCTCTCTGGAACCAGCAAGTAATGTGTCTGACCGCCCAAAAGGCGGCTCAAGGGGCCCCTAAGCCACCATGATTACGGATAGCTGCAAATGACACTCGTCTCGCACTTGCGGAAACGAAACGGACACGATTGAGTTCGCAGCCCCGCCCTCTCCCCCCCCCGCCCGCCCCTTCCCCCCTCCGCACAGCGCCCCCGCGACGCCGCGGACGGCTGTCGAGCCCACCCCGGACTGCCCCGAGGTCCGCGGAATCAAGGCTGCGAGCCAGCGCCAGCCGCCCATCCACCCATAATCCGGCGGAGATTCGGTCTCTTTACAACCAGAACAACCACTTTACAACCAGATGGGTTACTTTACAACCAACATAGGATTGGAAAGTATGGTTTTTCATCGAGAACGTCCACTTTGCAACCAGAACGGCCCACTTTACAACCAGAACGGACCACTTTACAACCAGAACGGACCACTTTACAACCAGAACGGACAACTTTACAACCAGAACGGACAACTTTACAACCAGCTCAGAGTGGCCGCGCGTGTTTGGGCGTTCCGCAAAGTGCTCCAGAGCAAGTGGGCGCTCTGACAAATGCCCCAGAGCAAGTGGGCGCTCTAAAAAATGCCCCAGAGCAAGTGGGCGCTCTCAAAAGTGCTCCAGGGCGCGCGGACGCTCTGAAAAGTGCTCCAGAGCACGTGGGCGCCCTGGAGCCCGAGCGCCTGAACTCTCTGCGCAAGCCCCAGCGATGCCTCTGAGCCCGAGCGCCTGAACGCCCTGCGCAGGCCCCAGCGATGCCTCTGAGCCCGAGGACCTGGACGCTCTGCACAGGCCCCAGCGATGCCTCTGAGCCCGAGGACCTGGACGATCTGCGCGGGCCCCAGCGATGCCTCTGGACGCTCTGAGCAGGCCCCAGCGATGCCTCTGAGCCCGAGCGCCTGGACGCTCTGGCGCTCTGAGCCCAGCAGACTAAGACAGGGCTTGCTAGCAGGGGCCAAGCGGCCTGAACAAGGGCCCCGTACTCGCACGGAAATAAGGCGACAGCGTACGTAGGAAGGCTCAGGGCGACGCGCTGCCCATTCTAGGGATCACTCACAGGAAGCGAGCCCAGTGGCCTCCACAAGGGCCCAGCGCTCCAGGGAACTAGGCCATTGGCACCGCGGGTCTCTTGGGCCACGTTGGCCCCTGAAGCCCCGCGGTGTTCTGCAAGGGGCTAAGTGCTCCAGCTCCAGTTGGCCCCCTGCTGCTCCTCTTCTTGGAAGATCGAGGTTCAACGTTCCGAATAAATGCAACTATTTCGAAGGTCGTTCCTTCCTGCGCCAGCCACAGTGCCAGCGCAGCAACGCAGGTATCCTGCTCGGGCAGCAGCCTCAGCCACCGTGCCAGCGCAGCAGCTTGAGCCATCGTGACACCGCGTCACCGCCACCTTTGTGCCTGCTACCGCCACACTTACCGCTGCAGCCCCGCTACCTCCACAATTCCGACTGACCCCCCGCTACCACCGCAAATCCCATTGCAGCCCAGCTACCACCGCAGTTCCCACCGCTGCCTGGCGACCACCATAGTTACCACCGCAGCTTCCCAACACCATGCAGTTCCCATTGTAGCCCCCGCTGCCACCACATCTCCCACTACAGCTTCCCACTGCCATGCAGCTCCAGTCTTGGACGGGATCATGGTTTATTCGTATGTCCTGCGCGACTAGCCTTCGTCCGTCAGAAAAAAGGCAGAGCAAGCAATGGCAGAACTGACCGACAGAGCTTAGAGAGCAGGTCAAAACCCTAATCCGCCCACCAGCACGCAACAAACCATGGCGCACCAGGTCGCCGCATCGCCAACGCGTGCGCAGTGCTTCTTCGTGCGCGATGGGCAACTTCACAACCGACATGCCTCAAAGAGCCCAAAGCCACCCTTGCGCTTGCCCACGGAGATTTCAGGGAAAGGCCCGCGTGCATTCAATATGTGTTTTCACTTGCCTGGTTGTAAAGTGCCCTTCCTGGTTGGAAAGTGCCCTTCTCGGATTTGGTAAGCTGGTTGTAAAGTGACCCATCTGGTTGTAAAGTGCGCTTCTGGTTGTAAAGTGACCCACGCGCATAATCCGGCAGCGGCGGGGCGCGGCCGCCACTCGATCCCCCCCCATTTCCCTCAGGGGGGAGCGGCCCCGAGGCGAGAGGGGGAGGAGCAGAGTTTGTCTTCTCTCATCAGAACCCAGCGGCGGGAGGGAGGAGCTCGGCGAACCTCTCACCAACCCCTAACCACACCCCTAGCCAAGCCCCCAGCCAAGCCCCCAAGATTTCCCTCAGTTGGCGCGCGGGCGCCTTGCAAAGAGAACGAAGCTTGCTTCGACGAAGACGAACTGCTCGTCGCCGCCGTCGGCCCGGGAAGGCCGAAGAGGT